GGCCGCGCGGGACGGGCAGCAGCCGGGCTCGGAGACGCTGGCCAGGCCCGCGCGACTCCTGACTTGTAACGCGGCAGGGATGGAAGGAGGAGACGCGGCCCCCGCTCCCGATTTATCATCTCCTTTTCTTAATCCCTTAAGTTCTTAAATCTCCGCTGAGCCGCTCGCCGCAGCCCAGCGCAGAGCTTGGAGGAGGCTGAGGGACCGCGGCGGCCGAGTGAAACCCGGCCCCAGACCCGTTAATAGGAGCCCGAACCCGTCCCCAGGGGCCTCCAGGACCCCATCCCACAGCTCCGCTCACAACCAGAGCCCCAGCCCAGCACCCCGAGGGCGCGCGGCGGCAACACGAACGTTTTTGAAGAAGTGCCGGGCCACGATCTCGGGGTTCAGCTCCCACTTGACGTTGTTCTTCATGCCGACCTCCAGGCGGCAGCTCCGGAGGAAGCGGACGGTCTGCGGCGACGCGACAGGGAGCACGGGGTGAGGAAGGGCAGGGACGGCGCACCGACACGGAGCGAGTGACCGGCGCGACTGGAGCCCCGCCGGCAAAACCGGGCGGGCTGTTTTCTGTGTCCAACCGACTCCCCGTTGTGCACTACCGGCTGAGGCTACAGGCGCAGCCACCCGAACGACCCCCCCGCGGCCTCCTCCCGCGCTGCCGTGGGCCGTCGCCGTTTATTTAAGGGCACTTTGGGAGGGCAGAGCCATGCCAGGAGCCAGGGGGTTTCTGCCTGTGCTTTTGGGGACTTACGGATTTCTCGGGAACAATTTTGGATGGGCTCCTTTCTCACCTTTTCGCCGCTCTGCGTTTGGATTGCCGCCAGCTTCCCCTCCTGGCGCAGCTACAAGAAACGGGAGCGAGGAGAAAAATGAAGCGACGGCTTCGCAAGGCACCATCCTCGCCGGCTGCCAGGAGAGCCGCGGCGCCGGAAAAGCTCCAGAAGGGCCGGTTTGCTCAAGAGCAAATTCAGCAACTGTCACTGCAAAGCCCCCCGCGTTAGTCCCGGCTCCGCAAAGAGTTTCATTAGTGACACGAGCTCATCGGGCTGTGGCTGGCGCGGACGGTCCAGGTGTCTCCTGAGCGTCACCTCGAGGGCAGGACGCGACTCGTCCCGCGATCCCCCATGGGGACTTTCTGAACGGTTTCCTACCCGTTGCCTTTCTAGTAATTCCTGCCATTCCTACGTGTCGCCTGTCAGGGCAGCGTGAAGGCAGGGAGCAAATCGGGCCCAGGAAACACGAACGTGGTGGAAGAGGCGGCCACAAAACGCTACGAAGCTCCGACGCGCCGCAAACACCCCAGCTGCGCTCGGAACACGGCGGCTGTTTCATTTTGAGGATGCACGGCCCCAAAGATTTGCTGAATTTGCCCCAAAATCTCAAGATCCAACACGACCCCCTGATGCCTTAAGACAAAGCGAAGGTTGAAGCCTCTGCGCCGGTTCCAGCGGGAGCCTCTCGCGGTGCTGGGCAAAGGCCACGCGCGGCTCGTGCCGAGAGCCCCCTCCCCGCCAGGAACCCGCTCACCTTCTTCTCCTCCTCAAACATCTTCTTGTTCTCGGGCGATGCGTAAACAGCCAACCCTTGAGGCAGGAGCTTGTTGCGGCCCAGGGCCTTCTTCACGAAGACGACGTCTCCCCGGCTCCCCAAATCTGCGCGGGAGACACCGGGAGATGAGGACGAGCCGGGGCGAGCGAGGCGCGTCCTGCACGGCGGGCGGCAAATCCCAGCTGGATTCCCAGGGATTCTGCCCAAGGAAGCGGTGACAGCCCCTCTCCCACAGCAGGAGGGGGTCGAGACAGGCGGAACGGGGCAGAAACAGGTTCAACGTCCATCCGCGGAGCCGGCCGCTCTCTGCCGCAGAAGGAAGGGGGTCTTGGGGGCACCTACT